CGGTCAAGCAGGAAATGCATCCCGCTGCTAATGTAAATGAAAAAGTAACACACATTCTGACATCTGTAAGCATTCCACATTCTTGAGCATTTCTTACCTCCATTATGACCTTGTATTTTTCCACATGCATTGAAATTCATGGAGACATAGCTTTTAGTTCTGCACCTAGAGTGAAACTTAAAGCATAGAAACCAAGGTGTAAAAACGTGGTTTTTGTGGAGGTACAGTAATTCTCTCCGGTTTTCTATCTTCTCTTAGAGTACATCCTGTTTCAAGAGATGTATTCTGGAAGAGCGTCGAGTCATGTAGGACCATACAAGAGAAAAGGTGAGAATTGCTGCTAGGTTACTTGTCTTCTTTGCTTCCCAAGCATACTGATTGAAAAGGAAACGAACATGAAAACTTGGGGAAACTATGCTTTTGTGCGAGCAATAAAGGACACGAACATTCAGAAATCTTTCCCCATTCCATGTTCTTTAGCCTGTCGTTCTTACGATGGGATCGGTTTTCTTCAGCTCATCCTACCCACCCTATGATCTTATAGTTTTCAACAAGCATTGTGCTCCCATTGGAAAGCTAGCTTTTGATTGAAATCAAAATTGAGCGAATGGCGGGGAAAGCATAAAAATCAAGCTGTGAAGACGTTCTGTTCAGGGAAGTTCTTTAGTTTTCTTGTTTTCTGTTTTCTCAGAATACATCTTGTGTCAAGAGATTTGCTGTGGAAGAGAATGGAGTCCTGTAGGACCAGCGGAGAGAAAAGGTGAGAAATTTGCAATCTTGTTTGTTTTCTTTATCTTTGAAATTGACTGAGGTTATTGGAAAGATATAATGAGAGTCAGAAGACCAAGTAGTAGGCTAAATGGCAGAGACAGCACCTAAGATTAGCAAGCTGCTGCCAATAACTAGTGATGTTTGATATATTTATAAGCATTCTGGTAAAACCATGTGGCAGAGACAGCACCTAAGATTAGCAAGCTGCTGCCAATAACTAGTGATGTTTGATATATTTATAAGCATTCTGGTAAAACCATGTGGCAGGATCAGCACCTAAGATTAGCAAGCTGCTGCCAATAACTAGTGATGTTTGATATATTTATAAGCATTCTGGTAAAAACTCGTGGCAGAGACAGCACCTAAGATTAGCAAGCTGCTGCCAATAACTAGTGATGTTTGATATATTTATAAGCATTCTGGTAAAACCATGTGGCAGAGACAGCACCTAAGATTAGCAAGCTGCTGCCAATAACTAGTGATGTTTGATATATTTATAAGCATTCTGGTAAAACCATGTGGCAGAGACAGCACCTAAGATTAGCAAGCTGCTGCCAATAACTAGTGATGTTTTATACATTTATAAGCATTCTGGTAAAACCATGTGGCAGGATCAGCACCTAAATTCAGCAAGCTGCTGCCTATAAAACCACAGTAGACGAACCTTGGCTTCTGACTTAATATATATGAAAAAACGCACATGCAATTATCCTTGCAAATTCTGAATTGAATCTGTCGATGACAATGCACCATATGTAATTCCAACGATTGTTGGTTTCATTTCCCTTTGTGTTGTTCAACTTTTTTTCCTTTTGCTGTTCGAACTGCCCATGTAAGTAGGGCCATGCATGCTTTTACACTTTACTGAAATTGTATTTAAATATTCGCCACTCTTATTTTAGGTATTTAAGATGTTGCACACTTTACTGTAATTGTATTCAGATATTCTCCACTCTTATTTTAGGTATTTAAGATGTTGCACACTTTACTGTAATTGTATTCAGATATTCTCCACTCTTATTGTAGGTATTTAAGATGTTGCAAAAGAATGTTAGGATTCTCTTCAAATGAAGAAATAATTACTGGATTGATTGCTTATCCCATCCATTTGAAATTCAAAGGTGGCCAGCAATTTTTTAAAGAGCCATGCTACAATGAAAAGAACAGGAAGTAGTTTTTACTGGCAGAAAAAGCACCTAATATTAGAAAGCTGCTGCCAATAATCTGGCCTAGGAGGAAAGTTTCTGAAGGGAGAGATATTCTTATTACGAAGATAAGCATGCTGCAGTCAATGATGAAATAGAATAGGGTATTTATATACGGCAGATACAGCACCTAAGAATAAAGAATAGCAAGCTGCTGCCTACAGAACCCTAAAAAAGATGAAGATTGATTGAATCTTTCTAGGCCAGGGCTTAGCCATTTTAGAAACAGCAGCTAAGACCAGTAACGTGATGCCTATGTATGAATTCTTCTTCCGAGCGAGGATGTTCAGCACTCCTTCCCTCCCACCACCATCCTGGCAAAGGCCCGGCACTGGAGTACCCAAAGAGAGGCGTCTCTAATGGACCAGACAGGTTCGTTTTTGATTTAATGTCCAAAAGGGAAGTAAAGGTTGTATGGGAAGTCGGTGTTATAATTAGAAACGTTTCAAAAGACTGACGGTCAAGCAGGAAATGCATCCCGCTGCTATTGTAAATGAAAAAGTAACACACATTCTGACATCCGTAAGCATTCCACATTCTTGAGCATTTCTTACCTCCATTATGACCTTGTATTTTTCCACATGCATTGAAATTCATGGAGACATAGCTTTTAGTTCTGCACCTAGAGTGAAACTTAAAGCATAGAAACCAAGGTGTAAAAACGTGGTTTTTGTGGAGGTACAGTAATTCTCTCCGGTTTTCTATCTTCTCTTAGAGTACATCCTGTTTCAAGAGATGTATTCTGGAAGAGCGTCGAGTCATGTAGGACCATACAAGAGAAAAGGTGAGAATTGCTGCTAGGTTACTTGTCTTCTTTGCTTCCCAAGCATACTGATTGAAAAGGAAAGGAACATGAAAACTTGTGGAAACTATGCTTTTGTGCGAGCAATAAAGGACACGAACATTCAGAAATCTTTCCCCATTCCATTTTCTTTAGCCTGTCGTTCTTACGAAGGGATCGGTTTTCTTGAGCTCATCCTACCCACCCTATGATCTTATAGTTTTCAACAAGCATTGTGCTCCCATTGGAAAGCTAGCTTTTGATTGAAATCAAAATTGAGCGAATGGCGGGGAAAGCATAAAAATCAAGCTGTGAAGACTTTCTGTTCAGGGAAGTTCTTTAGTTTTCTTGTTTTCTGTTTTCTCAGAATACATCTTGTGTCAAGAGATTTGCTGTGGAAGAAAATCGAGTCCTGTAGGACCATCGGAGAGAAAAGGTGAGAAATTTGCAATCTTGTTTGTTTTCTTTATCTTTGAAAGTGACTGAGGTTATTGGAAAGATATAATGAGAGTCAGAAGACCAAGTAGTAGGCTAAATGGCAGAGACAGCACCTAAGATTAGCAAGCTGCTGCCAATAACTAGTGATGTTTTATACATTTATAAGCATTCTGGTAAAACCATGTGGCAGGATCAGCACCTAAGATTAGCAAGCTGCTGCCAATAACTAGTGATGTTTGATATATTTATAAGCATTCTGGTAAAAACTCGTGGCAGAGACAGCACCTAAGATTAGCAAGCTGCTGCCAATAACTAGTGGGCTTTTTTTTACATTTATAAGCATTCTGGTAAAACCATGTGGCAGGATCAGCACCTAAGATTAGCAAGCTGCTGCCAATAACTAGTGATGTTTGATATATTTATAAGCATTCTGGTAAAAACTCGTGGCAGAGACAGCACCTAAGATTAGCAAGCTGCTGCCAATAACTAGTGATGTTTGATATATTTATAAGCATTCTGGTAAAACCTCGTGGCAGAGACAGCACCTAAGATTAGCAAGCTGCTGCCAATAACTAGTGATGTTTTATACATTTATAAGCATTCTGGTAAAACCATGTGGCAGGATCAGCACCTAAGATTAGCAAGCTGCTGCCAATAACTAGTGATGTTTGATATATTTATAAGCATTCTGGTAAAACCTCGTGGCAGAGACAGCACCTAAGATTAGCAAGCTGCTGCCAATAACTAGTGATGTTTGATATATTTATAAGCATTCTGGTAAAAACTCGTGGCAGAGACAGCACCTAAGATTAGCAAGCTGCTGCCAATAACTAGTGATGTTTTATACATTTATAAGCATTCTGGTAAAACCATGTGGCAGGATCAGCACCTAAATTCAGCAAGCTGCTGCCTATAAAACCACAGTAGACGAACCTTGGCTTCTGACTTAATATATATGAAAAAACGCACATGCAATTATCCTTGCAAATTCTGAATTGAATCTGTCGATGACAATGCACCATATGTAATTCCAACGATTGTTGGTTTCATTTCCCTTTGTGTTGTTCAACTTTTTTTCCTTTTGCTGTTCGAACTGCCCATGTAAGTAGGGCCATGCATGCTTTTACACTTTACTGAAATTGTATTTAAATATTCGCCACTCTTATTTTAGGTATTTAAGATGTTGCACACTTTACTGTAATTGTATTCAGATATTCTCCACTCTTATTTTAGGTATTTAGGATGTTGCACACTTTACTGTAATTTTATTCAGATATTCTCCACTCTTATTTTAGGTATTTAAGATGTTGCAAAAGAATGTTAGGATTCTCTTCAAATGAAGAAATAATTACTTGATTGATTGCTTATCCCATCCATTTGAAATTCAAAGGTGGCCAGCAATTTTTTAAAGAGCCATGCTACAATGAAAAGAACAGGAAGTAGTTTTTACTGGCAGAAAAAGCACCTAATATTAGAAAGCTGCTGCCAATAATCTGGCTTAGGAGGAAAGTTTCTGAAGGGAGAGAGATATTCTTATTACGAAGCTTAGCATGCTGCAGTCAATGATGAAATAGAATAGGGTATTTATATACGGCAGATACAGCACCTAAGAATAAAGAATAGCAAGCTGCTGCCTACAGAACCCTAAAAAAAGATGAAGATTGATTGAATCTTTATAGGCCAGGGCTTAGCCATTTTAGAAACAGCAGCTAAGACCAGTAACGTGATGCCTATGTATGAATTCTTCTTCCGAGCGAGGATGTTCAGCACTCCTTCCCTCCCACCACCATCCTGGCAAAGGCCCGGGCACTGGAGTACCCAAAGAGAGGCGTCTCTAATGGACCAGACAGGTTCGTTTTTGATTTAATGTCCAAAAGGGAAGTAAAGGTTGGATGGGAAGTCGGTGTTAGAATTAGAAACGTTTCAAAAGACTGACGGTCAAGCAGGAAATGCATCCCGCTGCTAATGTAAATGAAAAAGTAACACACATTCTGACATCCGTAAGCATTCCACATTCTTGAGCATTTCTTACCTCCATTATGACCTTGTATTTTTCCACATGCATTGAAATTCATGGAGACATAGCTTTTAGTTCTGCACCTAGAGTGAAACTTAAAGCATAGAAACCAAGGTGTAAAAACGTGGTTTTTGTGGAGGTATAGTAATTCTCTCCGGTTTTCTATCTTCTCTTAGAGTACATCCTGTTTCAAGAGATGTATTCTGGAAGAGCGTCGAGTCATGTAGGACCATACAAGAGAAAAGGTGAGAATTGCTGCTAGGTTACTTGTCTTCTTTGCTTCCCAAGCATACTGATTGAAAAGGAAAGGAACATGAAAACTTGGGGAAACTATGCTTTTGTGCGAGCAATAAAGGACACGAACATTCAGAAATCTTTCCCCATTCCATTTTCTTTAGCCTGTCGTTCTTACGAAGGGATCGGTTTTCTTGAGCTCATCCTACCCACCCTATGATCTTATAGTTTTCAACAAGCATTGTGCTCCCATTGGAAAGCTAGCTTTTGATTGAAATCAAAATTGAGCGAATGGCGGGGAAAGCATAAAAATCAAGCTGTGAAGACGTTCTGTTCAGGGAAGTTCTTTAGTTTTCTTGTTTTTGTTTTCTCAGAATACATCTTGTGTCAAGAGATTTGCTGTGGAAGAAAATCGAGTCCTGTAGGACCATCGGAGAGAAAAGGTGAGAAATTTGCAATCTTGTTTGTTTTCTTTATCTTTGAAATTGACTGAAGTTATTGGAAAGATATAATGAGAGTCAGAAGACCAAGTAGTAGGCTAAATGGCAGAGACAGCACATAAGATTAGCAAGCTGCTGCCAATAACTAGTGATGTTTGATATATTTATAAGCATTCTGGTAAAAACTCGTGGCAGAGACAGCACCTAAGACTAGCAAGCTGCTGCCAATAACTAGTGATGTTTTATACATTTATAAGCATTCTGGTAAAACCATGTGGCAGGATCAGCACCTAAATTCAGCAAGCTGCTGCCTATAAAACCACAGTAGACGAACCTTGGCTTCTGACTTAATATATATGAAAAAACGCACATGCAATTATCCTTGCAAATTCTGAATTGAATCTGTCGATGACAATGCACCATATGTAATTCCAACGATTGTTGGTTTCATTTCCCTTTGTGTTGTTCAACTTTTTTTCCTTTTGCTGTTCGAACTGCCCATGTAAGTAGGGCCATGCATGCTTTTACACTTTACTGAAATTGTATTTAAATATTCGCCACTCTTATTTTAGGTATTTAAGATGTTGCACACTTTACTGTAATTGTATTCAGATATTCTCCACTCTTATTTTAGGTATTTAAGATGTTGCACACTTTACTGTAATTGTATTCAGATATTCTCCACTCTTATTGTAGGTATTTAAGATGTTGCAAAAGAATGGTAGGATTCTCTTCAAATGAAGAAATAATTACTTGACTGATTGCTTATCCCATCCATTTGAAATTCAAAGGTGGCCAGCAATGTTTTAAAGAGCCATGCTACAATGAAAAGAACAGGAAGTAGTTTTTACTGGCAGAAAAAGCACCTAATATTAGAAAGCTGCTGCCAATAATCTGGCCTAGGAGGAAAGTTTCTGAAGGGAGAGATATTCTTATTACGAAGCTTAGCATGCTGCAGTCAATGATGAAATAGAATAGGGTATTTATATACGGCAGATACAGCACCTAAGGATAAAGAATAGCAAGCTGCTGCCTACAGAACCCTAAAAAAGATGAAGATTGATTGAATCTTCATAGGCCAGGGCTTAGCCATTTTAGAAACAGCAGCTAAGACCAGTAACGTGATGCCTATGTATGAATTCTTCTTCCGAGCGAGGATGTTCAGCACTCCTTCCCTCCCACCACCATCCTGGCAAAGGCCCGCACTGGAGTACCCAAAGAGAGGCGTCTCTAATGGACCAGACAGGTTCGTTTTTGATTTAATGTCCAAAAGGGAAGTAAAGGTTGTATGGGAAGTCGGTGTTATAATTAGAAACGTTTCAAAAGACTGACGGTAAAGCAGGAAATGCATCCCGCTGCTAATGTAAATGAAAAAGTAACACACATTCTGACATCTGTAAGCATTCCACATTCTTGAGCATTTCTTACCTCCATTATGACCTTGTATTTTTCCACATGCATTGAAATTCATGGAGACATAGCTTTTAGTTCTGCACCTAGAGTGAAACTTAAAGCATAGAAACCAAGGTGTAAAAACGTGGTTTTTGTGGAGGTACAGTAATTCTCTCCGGTTTTCTATCTTCTCTTAGAGTACATCCTGTTTCAAGAGATGTATTCTGGAAGAGCGTCGAGTCATGTAGGACCATACAAGAGAAAAGGTGAGAATTGCTGCTAGGTTACTTGTCTTCTTTGCTTCCCAAGCATACTGATTGAAAAGGAAAGGAACATGAAAACTTGAGGAAACTATGCTTTTGTGCGAGCAATAAAGGACACGAACATTCAGAAATTTTTCCCCATTCCATTTTCTTTAGCCTGTCGTTCTTACGAAGGGATCGGTTTTCTTGAACTCATCCTACCCACCCTATGACCTTATAGTTTTCAACAAGCATTGTGCTCCCATTGGAAAGCTAGCTTTTGATTGAAATCAAAATTGAGCGAATGGCGGGGAAAGCATAAAAATCAAGCTGTGATGACGTTCTGTTCAGGGAAGTTCTTTAGTTTTCTTGTTTTCTGTTTTCTCAGAATACATCTTGTGTCAAGAGATTTGCTGTGGAAGAAAATCGAGTCCTGTAGGACCATCGGAGAGAAAAGGTGAGAAATTTGCAATCTTGTTTGTTTTCTTTATCTTTGAAATTGACTGAAGTTATTGGAAAGATATAATGAGAGTCAGAAGACCAAGTAGTAGGCTAAATGGCAGAGACAGCACCTAAGATTAGCAAGCTGCTGCCAATAACTAGTGATGTTTTATACATTTATAAGCATTCTGGTAAAACCATGTGGCAGGATCAGCACCTAAGATTAGCAAGCTGCTGCCAATAACTAGTGATGTTTGATATATTTATAAGCATTCTGGTAAAAACTCGTGGCAGAGACAGCACCTAAGATTAGCAAGCTGCTGCCAATAACTAGTGATGTTTTATACATTTATAAGCATTCTGGTAAAACCATGTGGCAGGATCAGCACCTAAGATTAGCAAGCTGCTGCCAATAACTAGTGATGTTTGATATATTTATAAGCATTCTGGTAAAAACTCGTGGCAGAGACAGCACCTAAGATTAGCAAGCTGCTGCCAATAACTAGTGATGTTTGATATATTTATAAGCATTCTGGTAAAAACTCGTGGCAGAGACAGCACCTAAGATTAGCAAGCTGCTGCCAATAACTAGTGATGTTTGATATATTTATAAGCATTCTGGTAAAAACTCGTGGCAGAGACAGCACCTAAGATTAGCAAGCTGCTGCCAATAACTAGTGATGTTTTATACATTTATAAGCATTCTGGTAAAACCATGTGGCAGGATCAGCACCTAAAATCAGCAAGCTGCTGCCTATAAAACCACAGTAGACGAACCTTGGCTTCTGACTTAATATATATGAAGAAACGCACATGCAATTATCCTTGCAAATTCTGAATTGAATCTGTCGATGACAATGCACCATATGTAATTCCAACGATTGTTGGTTTCATTTCCCTTTGTGTTGTTCAACTTTTTTTCCTTTTGCTGTTCGAACTGCCCATGTAAGTAGGGCCATGCATGCTTTTACACTTTACTGAAATTGTATTTAAATATTCGCCACTCTTATTTTAGGTATTTAAGATGTTGCACACTTTACTGTAATTGTATTCAGATATTCTCCACTCTTATTTTAGGTATTTAAGATGTTGCACACTTTACTGTAATTGTATTCAGATATTCTCCACTCTTATTTTAGGTATTTAAGATGTTGCAAAAGAATGGTAGGATTCTCTTCAAATGAAGAAATAATTACTTGATTGATTGCTTATCCCATCCATTTGAAATTCATAGGTGGCCAGCAATGTTTTAAAGAGCCATGCTACAATGAAAAGAACAGGAAGTAGTTTTTACTGGCAGAAAAAGCACCTAATATTAGAAAGCTGCTGCCAATAATCTGGCCTAGGAGGAAAGTTTCTGAAGGGAGAGATATTCTTATTACGAAGCTTAGCATGCTGCAGTCAATGATGAAATAGAATAGGGTATTTATATACGGCAGATACAGCACCTAAGAATAAAGAATAGCAAGCTGCTGCCTACAGAACCCTAAAAAAGATGAAGATTGATTGAATCTTTATAGGCCAGGGCTTAGCCATTTTAGAAACAGCAGCTAAGACCAGTAACGTGATGCCTATGTATGAATTCTTCTTCCGAGCGAGGATGTTCAGCACTCCTTCCCTCCCACCACCATCCTGGCAAAGGCCCGGCACTGGAGTACCCAAAGAGAGGCGTCTCTAATGGACCAGACAGGTTCGTTTTTGATTTAATGTCCAAAAGGGAAGTAAAGGTTGGATGGGAAGTCGGTGTTATAATTAGAAACGTTTCAAAAGACTGACGGTCAAGCAGGAAATGCATCCCGCTGCTAATGTAAATGAAAAAGTAACACACATTCTGACATCCGTAAGCATTCCACATTCTTGAGCATTTCTTACCTCCATTATGACCTTGTATTTTTCCACATGCATTGAAATTCATGGAGACATAGCTTTTAGTTCTGCACCTAGAGTGAAACTTAAAGCATAGAAACCAAGGTGTAAAAACGTGGTTTTTGTGGAGGTACAGTAATTCTCTCCGGTTTTCTATCTTCTCTTAGAGTACATCCTGTTTCAAGAGATGTATTCTGGAAGAGCGTCGAGTCATGTAGGACCATACAAGAGAAAAGGTGAGAATTGCTGCTAGGTTACTTGTCTTCTTTGCTTCCCAAGCATACTAATTGAACAGGAAAGGAACATGAAAACTTGTGGAAACTATGCTTTTGTGCGAGCAATAAAGGACACGAACATTCAGAAATCTTTCCCCATTCCATTTTCTTTAGCCTGTCGTTTTTACGAAGGGATCGATTTTCTTGAGCTCATCCTACCCACCCTATGACCTTATAGTTTTCAACAAGCATTGTGCTCCCATTGGAAAGCTAGCTTTTGATTGAAATCAAAATTGAGCGAATGGCGGGGAAAGCATAAAAATCGAGCTGTGAAGACGTTCTGTTCAGGGAAGTTCTTTAGTTTTCTTGTTTTCTGTTTTCTCAGAATAAATCTTGTGTCAAGAGATTTGCTGTGGAAGAAAATCGAGTCCTGTAGGACCATCGGAGAGAAAAGGTGAGAAATTTGCAATCTTGTTTGTTTTCTTTATCTTTGAAAGTGACTGAAGTTATTGGAAAGATATAATGAGAGTCAGAAGACCAAGTAGTAGGCTAAATGGCAGAGACAGCACCTAAGATTAGCAAGCTGCTGCCAATAACTAGTGGGCTTTTTTTTACATTTATAAGCATTCTGGTAAAACCATGTGGCAGGATCAGCACCTAAGATTAGCAAGCTGCTGCCAATAACTAGTGATGTTTGATATATTTATAAGCATTCTGGTAAAACCTCGTGGCAGAGACAGCACCTAAGATTAGCAAGCTGCTGCCAATAACTAGTGATGTTTGATATATTTATAAGCATTCTGGTAAAAACTCGTGGCAGAGACAGCACCTAAGATTAGCAAGCTGCTGCCAATAACTAGTGATGTTTGATACATTTATAAGCATTCTGGTAAAACCATGTGGCAGGATCAGCACCTAAATTCAGCAAGCTGCTGCCTATAAAACCACAGTAGACGAACCTTGGCTTCTGACTTAATATATATGAAAAAACGCACATGCAATTATCCTTGCAAATTCTGAATTGAATCTGTCGATGACAATGCACCATATGTAATTCCAACGATTGTTGGTTTCATTTCCCTTTGTGTTGTTCAACTTTTTTTCCTTTTGCTGTTCGAACTGCCCATGTAAGTAGGGCCATGCATGCTTTTACACTTTACTGAAATTGTATTTAAATATTCGCCACTCTTATTTTAGGTATTTAAGATGTTGCACACTTTACTGTAATTGTATTCAGATATTCTCCACTCTTATTTTAGGTATTTAAGATGTTGCACACTTTACTGTAATTGTATTCAGATATTCTCCACTCTTATTTTAGGTATTTAAGATGTTGCACACTTTACTGTAATTGTATTCAGATATTCTCCACTCTTATTTTAGGTATTTAAGATGTTGCAAAAGAATGGTAGGATTCTCTTCAAATGAAGAAATAATTACTTGATTGATTGCTTATCCCATCCATTTGAAATTCAAAGGTGGCCAGCAATGTTTTAAAGAGCCATGCTACAATGAAAAGAACAGGAAGTAGTTTTTACTGGCAGAAAAAGCACCTAATATTAGAAAGCTGCTGCCAATAATCTGGCCTAGGAGGAAAGTTTCTGAAGGGAGAGGTATTCTTATTACGAAGCTTAGCATGCTGCAGTCAATGATGAAATAGAATAGGGTATTTATATACGGCAGATACAGCACCTAAGAATAAAGAATAGCAAGCTGCTGCCTACAGAACCCTAAAAAAGATGAAGATTGATTGAATCTTTATAGGCCAGGGCTTAGCCATTTTAGAAATAGCAGCTAAGACCAGTAACGTGATGCCTATGTATGAATTCTTCTTCCGAGCGAGGATGTTCAGCACTCCTTCCCTCCCACCACCATCCTGGCAAAGGACCGGCACTGGAGTACCCAAAGAGAGGCGTCTCTAATGGACCAGACAGGTTCGTTTTTGATTTAATGTCCAAAAGGGAAGTAAAGGTTGAATGGGAAGTCGGTGTTATAATTAGAAACGTTTCAAAAGACTGACGGTCAAGCAGGAAATGCATCCCGCTGCTAATGTAAATGAAAAAGTAACACACATTCTGACATCCGTAAGCATTCCACATTCTTGAGCATTTCTTACCTCCATTATGACCTTGTATTTTTCCACATGCATTGAAATTCATGGAGACATAGCTTTTAGTTCTGCACCTAGAGTGAAACTTAAAGCATAGAAACCAAGTTGTAAAAACGTGGTTTTTGTGGAGGTACAGTAATTCTCTCTGGTTTTCTATCTTCTCTTAGAGTACATCCTGTTTCAAGAGATGTATTCTGGAAGAGCGTCGAGTCATGTAGGACCATACAAGAGAAAAGGTGAGAATTGCTGCTAGGTTACTTGTCTTCTTTGCTTCCCAAGCATACTGATTGAAATGGAAAGGAACATGAAAACTTGAGGAAACTATGCTTTTGTGCGAGCAATAAAGGACACGAACATTCAGAAATCTTTCCCCATTCCATTTTCTTTAGCCTGTCGTTCTTACGAAGGGATCGGTTTTCTTGAGCTCATCCTACCCACCCTATGACCTTATAGTTTTCAACAAGCATTGTGCTCCCATTGGAAAGCTAGCTTTTGATTGAAATCAAAATTGAGCGAATGGCGGGGAAAGCATAAAAATCAAGCTGTGAAGACGTTCTGTTCAGGGAAGTTCTTTAGTTTTCTTGTTTTTGTTTTCTCAGAATACATCTTGTGTCAAGAGATTTGCTGTGGAAGAAAATCGAGTCCTGTAGGACCATCGGAGAGAAAAGGTGAGAAATTTGCAATCTTGTTTGTTTTCTTTATCTTTGAAAGTGACTGAAGTTATTGGAAAGATATAATGAGAGTCAGAAGACCAAGTAGTAGGCTAAATGGCAGAGACAGCACCTAAGATTAGCAAGCTGCTGCCAATAACTAGTGATGTTTGATATATTTATAAGCATTCTGGTAAAAACTCGTGGCAGAGACAGCACCTAAGATTAGCAAGCTGCTGCCAATAACTAGTGATGTTTGATATATTTATAAGCATTCTGGTAAAAACTCGTGGCAGAGACAGCACCTAAGATTAGCAAGCTGCTGCCAATAACTAGTGGGCTTTTTAAAAACATTTATAAGCATTCTGGTAAAACCATGTGGCAGGATCAGCACCTAAGATTAGCAAGCTGCTGCCAATAACTAGTGATGTTTGATATATTTATAAGCATTCTGGTAAAACCTCGTGGCAGAGACAGCACCTAAGATTAGCAAGCTGCTGCCAATAACTAGTGATGTTTGATATATTTATAAGCATTCTGGTAAAACCATGTGGCAGGATCAGCACCTAAGATTAGCAAGCTGCTGCCAATAACTAGTGATGTTTGATATATTTATAAGCATTCTGGTAAAAACTCGTGGCAGAGACAGCACCTAAGATTAGCAAGCTGCTGCCAATAACTAGTGATGTTTTATACATTTATAAGCATTCTGGTAAAACCTCGTGGCAGAGACAGCACCTAAGATTAGCAAGCTGCTGCCAATAACTAGTGATGTTTGATATATTTATAAGCATTCTGGTAAAAACTCGTGGCAGAGACAGCACCTAAGATTAGCAAGCTGCTGCCAATAACTAGTGATGTTTGATATATTTATAAGCATTCTGGTAAAAACTCGTGGCAGAGACAGCACCTAAGATTAGCAAGCTGCTGCCAATAACTAGTGATGTTTTATACATTTATAAGCATTCTGGTAAAACCATGTGGCAGGATCAGCACCTAAATTCAGCAAGCTGCTGCCTATAAAACCACAGTAGACGAACCTTGGCTTCTGACTTAATATATATGAAAAAACGCACATGCAATTATCCTTGCAAATTCTGAATTGAATCTGTCGATGACTATGCACCATATGTAATTCCAACGATTGTTGGTTTCATTTCCCTTTGTGTTGTTCAACTTTTTTTCCTTTTGCTGTTCGAGATGCCCATGTAAGTAGTGCCATGCATGCTTTTACACTTTACTGTAATTGTATTTAAATATTCGCCACTCTTATTTTAGGTATTTAAGATGTTGCACACTTTACTGTAATTGTATTCAGATATTCTCCACTCTTATTTTAGGTATTTAAGATGTTGCACACTTTACTGTAATTGTATTCAGATATTCTCCACTCTTATTTTAGGTATTTAAGATGTTGCAAAAGAATGGTAGGATTCTCTTCAAATGAAGAAATAATTACTTGATTGATTGCTTATCCCATCCATTTGAAATTCAAAAGTGGCCAGCAATGTTTTAAAGAGCCATGCTACAATGAAAAGAACAGGAAGTAGTTTTTACTGGCAGAAAAAGCACCTAATATTAGAAAGCTGCTGCCAATAATCTGGCCTAGGAGGAAAGTTTCTGAAGGGAGAGATATTCTTATTACGAAGCTTAGCATGCTGCAGTCAATGATGAAATAGAATAGGGTATTTATATACGGCAGATACAGCACCTAAGAATAAAGAATAGCAAGCTGCTGCCTACAGAACCCTAAAAAAGATGAAGATTGATTGAATCTTTATAGGCCAGGGCTTAGCCATTTTAGAAACAGCAGCTAAGACCAGTAACGTGATGCCTATGTATGAATTCTTCTTCCGAGCGAGGATGTTCAGCACTCCTTCCCTCCCACCACCATCCTGGCAAAGGACCGGCACTGGAGTACCCAAAGAGAGGCGTCTCTAATGGACCAGACAGGTTCGTTTTTGATTTAATGTCCAAAAGGGAAGTAAAGGTTGGATGGGAAGTCGGTGTTATAATTAGAAACGTTTCAAAAGACTGACGGTCAAGCAGGAAATGCATCCCGCTGCTAATGTAAATGAAAAAGTAACACACATTCTGACATCCGTAAGCATTCCACATTCTTGAGCATTTCTTACCTCCATTATGACCTTGTATTTTTCCACATGCATTGAAATTCATGGAGACATAGCTTTTAGTTCTGCACCTAGAGTGAAACTTAAAGCATAGAAACCAAGGTGTAAAAACGTGTTTTTTGTGGAGGTACAGTAATTCTCTCCGGTTTTCTATATTCTCTTAGAGTACATCCTGTTTCAAGAGATGTATTCTGGAAGAGCGTCGAGTCATGTAGGACCATACAAGAGAAAAGATGAGAATTGCTGCTAGGTTACTTGTCTTCTTTGCTTCCCAAGCATACTGATTGAAAAGGAAAGGAACATGAAAACTTGGGGAAACTATGCTTTTGTGCGAGCAATAAAGGACACGAACATTCAGAAATCTTTCCCCATTCCATTTTCTTTAGCCTGTCGTTCTTACGAAGGGATCGGTTTTCTTGAGCTCATCCTACCCACCCTATGATCTTATAGTTTTCAACAAGCATTGTGCTCCCATTGGAAAGCTAGCTTTTGATTGAAATCAAAATTGAGCGAATGGCGGGGAAAGCATAAAAATCAAGCTGTGAAGACGTTCTGTTCAGGGAAGTTCTTTAGTTTTCTTGTTTTTGTTTTCTCAGAATACATCTTGTGTCAAGAGATTTGCTGTGGAAGAAAATCGAGTCCTGTAGGACCATCGGAGAGAAAAGGTGAGAAATTTGCAATCTTGTTTGTTTTCTTTATCTTTGAAAGTGACTGAAGTTATTGGAAAGATATAATGAGAGTCAGAAGACCAAGTAGTAGGCTAAATGGCAGAGACAGCACCTAAGATTAGCAAGCTGCTGCCAATAACTAGTGGGCTTTTTTAAAACATTTATAAGCATTCTGGTAAAACCATGTGGCAGGATCAGCACCTAAGATTAGCAAGCTGCTGCCAATAACTAGTGATGTTTGATATATTTATAAGCATTCTGGTAAAACCTCGTGGCAGAGACAGCACCTAAGATTAGCAAGCTGCTGCCAATAACTAGTGATGTTTGATATATTTATAAGCATTCTGGTAAAAACTCGTGGCAGAGACAGCACCTAAGATTAGCAAGCTGCTGCCAATAACTAGTGATGTTTGATATATTTATAAGCATTCTGGTAAAAACTCGTGGCAGAGACAGCACCTAAGATTAGCAAGCTGCTGCCAATAACTAGTGATGTTTTATACATTTATAAGCATTCTGGTAAAACCATGTGGCAGGATCAGCACCTAAATTCAGCAAGCTGCTGCCTATAAAACCACAGTAGACGAACCTTGGCTTCTGACTTAATATATATGAAAAAACGCACATGCAATTATCCTTGCAAATTCTGAATTGAATCTGTCGATGACAATGCACCATATGTATTTCCAACGATTGTTGGTTTCATTTCCCTTTGTGTTGTTCAACTTTTTTTCCTTTTGCTGTTCGAACTGCCCATGTAAGTAGGGCCATGCATGCTTTTACACTTTACTGAAATTGTATTTAAATATTCGCCACTCTTATTTTAGGTATTTAAGATGTTGCACACTTTACTGTAATTGTATTCAGATATTCTCCACTCTTATTTTAGGTATTTCAGATGTTGCAAAAGAATGGTAGGATTCTCTTCAAATGAAGAAATAATTACTTGACTGATTGCTTATCCCATCCATTTGAAATTCATAGGTGGCCAGCAATGTTTTAAAGAGCCATGCTACAATGAAAAGAACAGGAAGTAGTTTTTACTGGCAGAAAAAGCACCTAATATTAGAAAGCTGCTGCCAATAATCTGGCCTAGGAGTAAAGTTTCTGAAGGGAGAGATATTCTTATTACGAAGTTTAGCATGCTGCAGTCAATGATGAAATAGAATAGGGTATTTATATACGGCAGATACAGCACCTAAGAATAAAGAATAGCAAGCTGCTGCCTACAGAACCCTAAAAAAGATGAAGATTGATTGAATCTTTATAGGCCAGGGCTTAGCCATTTTAGAAACAGCAGCTAAGACCAGTAACGTGATGCCTATGTATGAATTCTTCTTCCGAGCGAGGATGTTCAGCACTCCTTCCCTCCCACCACCATCCTGGCAAAGGACCGGCACTGGAGTACCCAAAGAGAGGCGTCTCTAATGGACCAGACAGGTTCGTTTTTGATTTAATGTCCAAAAGGGAAGTAAAGGTTGGATGGGAAGTCGGTGTTATAATTAGAAACGTTTCAAAAGACTGACGGTCAAGCAGGAAATGCATCCCGCTGCTAATGTAAATGAAAAAGTAACACACATTCTGACATCCGTAAGCATTCCACATTCTTGAGCATTTCTTACCTCCATTATGACCTTGTATTTTTCCACATGCATTGAATTTCATGGAGACATAGCTTTTAGTTCTGCACCTAGAGTGAAACTTAAAGCATAGAAACCAAGGTGTAAAAACGTGGTTTTTGTGGAGGTACAGTAATTCTCTCCGGTTTTCTATCTTCTCTTAGAGTACATCCTGTTTCAAGAGATGTATTCTGGAAGAGCGTCGAGTCATGTAGGACCATACAAGAGAAAAGGTGAGAATTGCTGCTAGGTTACTTGTCTTCTTTGCTTCCCAAGCATACTGATTGAAAAGGAAAGGAACATGAAAACTTGGGGAAACTATGCTTTTGTGCAAGCAATAAAGGACACGAACATTCAGAAATCTTTCCCCATTCCATTTTCTTTAGCCTGTCGTTCTTACGATGGGATCGGTTTTCTTGAGCTCATCCTACCCACCCTATGATCTTATAGTTTTCAACAAGCATTGTGCTCCCATTGGAAAGCTAGCTTTTGATTGAAATCAAAATTGAGCGAATGGCGGGGAAAGCATAAAAATCAAGCTGTGAAGACGTTCTGTTCAGGGAAGTTCTTTAGTTTTCTTGTTTTTGTTTTCTCAGAATACATCTTGTGTCAAGAGATTTGCTGTGGAAGAGAATGGAGTCCTGTAGGACCATCGGAGAGAAAAGGTGAGAAATTTGCAATCTTGTTTGTTTTCTTTATCTTTGAAAGTGACTGAGGTTATTGGAAAGATATAATGAGAGTCAGAAGACCAAGTAGTAGGCTAAATGGCAGAGACAGCACCTAAGATTAGCAAGCTGCTGCCAATAACTAGTGGGCTTTTTAAAAACATTTATAAGCATTCTGGTAAAACCATGTGGCAGGATCAGCACCTAAGATTAGCAAGCTGCTGCCAATAACTAGTGATGTTTGATATATTTATAAGCATTCTGGTAAAACCTCGTGGCAGAGACAGCACCTAAGATTAGCAAGCTGCTGCCAATAACTAGTGATGTTTGATATATTTATAAGCATTCTGGTAAAAACTCGTGGCAGAGACAGCACCTAAGATTAGCAAGCTGCTGCCAATAACTAGTGATGTTTGATATATTTATAAGCATTCTGGTAAAAACTCGTGGCAGAGACAGCACCTAAGATTAGCAAGCTGCTGCCAATAACTAGTGATGTTTTATACATTTATAAGCATTCTGGTAAAAACTCGTGGCAGAGACAGCACCTAAGATTAGCAAGCTGCTGCCAATAACTAGTGATGTTTTATACATTTATAAGCATTCTGGTAAAACCATGTGGCAGGATCAGCACCTAAATTCAGCAAGCTGCTGCCTATAAAACCACAGTAGACGAACCTTGGCTTCTGACTTAATTTATATGAAAAAACGCACATGCAATTATCCTTGCAAATTCTGAATTGAATCTGTCGATGACAATGCACCATATGTAATTCCAACGATTGTTGGTTTCATTTCCCTTTGTGTTGTTCAACTTTTTTTCCTTTTGCTGTTCGAACTGCCCATGTAAGTAGGGCCATGCATGCTTTTACACTTTACTGAAATTGTATTTAAATATTCGCCACTCTTATTTTAGGTATTTAAGATGTTGCACACTTTACTGTAATTGTATTCAGATATTCTCCACTCTTATTTTAGGTATTTAAGATGTTGCAAAAGAATGGTAGGATTCTCTTCAAATGAAGAAATAATTACTTGATTGATTGCTTATCCCATCCATTTGAAATTCAAAGGTGGCCAGCAATGTTTTAAAGAGCCATGCTACAATGAAAAGAACAGGAAGTAGTTTTTACTGGCAGAAAAAGCACCTAATATTAGAAAGCTGCTGCCAATAATCTGGCCTAGGAGGAAAGTTTCTGAAGGGAGAGATATTCTTATTACGAAGCTTAGCATGCTGCAGTCAATGATGAAATAGAATAGGGTATTTATATACGGCAGATACAGCACCTAAGAATAAAGAATAGCAAGCTGCTGCCTACAGAACCCTAAAAAAGATGAAGATTGATTGAATCTTCATAGGCCAGGGCTTAGCCATTTTAGAAACAGCAGCTAAGACCAGTAACGTGATGCCTATGTATGAATTCTTCTTCCGAGCGAGGATGTTCAGCACTCCTTCCCTCCCACCACCATCCTGGCAAAGGCCCGGCACTGGAGTACCCAAAGAGAGGCGTCTCTAATGGACCAGACAGGTTCGTTTTTTATTTAATCTCCAAGCTGTAAAGAATTTCTGCTTGGGGAAGTTTTTAAGTTTTCTCCTTTTCTGTTTTCTCCGACTACATCTAGTGACGTGTCGAGCTTAAGTAGACAGGCTACGTTGTCTTTGCGACATATTCAATTATTCTGGTGATGAGTAGCAAGTAGTTCAAAGGAATTTTAGTTTCATTTCCCTTTGTGTTATTTAATAATAATAATAATAATGATAATAATAGATAGCATTTGTATAGCGCATATCCTCGCTCAGCAGCAGGCTCTATGCGCTTTACACTATATTATTACCCCAGCAGACCATAGAACACTCCGAAACATTCTCAGCTTCCCGGGAAGCATACAGTGCAAGCAGCCGATTAAGCGCTCAAACACTAACAAACTGACAAGATCTTTCGCTGTCTATAGCCGGATACCCATTCCCACCTGGGTGAAGTGAGGAAAATTCATGTAAAGTGCCTTTTCCAAGAACACAACGTTTCTCTTTTTCCTTCTTGAATTGCCCAGGGAAGTAAGCCTATTGTTGTTTCTTGAACTTCACCAGAATTTGTAATTAGATGTAAAGACTTCCCTTTTCTTTTTGAGGAGGTGCAATAGATTTCTCCCATTTTCTATTTTCTCAGGGCACATCGTGTTTTCGAGACATTAATTGTGAAAGAGCGTCGATTCATGTAGGACCAACCAAGAGAAATTGTTTGATCTGCAATATTGTTTGTCTTCTTTGCTTTGAAGTATATTGAAGTACATGTACATTTACACAGAAATTATACATAGGGGAATAGTACACTTTTATTTTAAAGATAAAAGAAACCTTTTGTGTGCCCTAGTCGCTGTGGTTGTAGTGTGTGTCAAAGTGGTTGTGGTCTTTGATGGATGTAGTGGTGTTTGTGTGTCGTGCGTGGTTGTAGTGGTGTGTGTGTGTCGCAGTTGTAGTGGTCATTATGGTTGCTAGTTGTAGTGGTCATTATGGTTGCTAGTTGTAGTGGTCATTATGGTTGCTAGTTGTAGTGGTCATTATGGTTGCTAGTTGTAGTGGTCATTATGGTTGCTAGTTGTAGTGGTCATTATGGTTGAAGTGGTTGTAGTCGTTGTCAAGTTTGTCATGGGCAAAGTTCTGGGATCATTATGGTTGTCTTGGATCAAGCCCTCATGGTTTTCACGCTTCAGAGTCGTCACGGATCTAAGTTGTTGTGGTCTTTGTATGTGGAGACCATCGTGGGTTGTAGTTGAAGTCGCCGGAGTCGTCGCTGGTTGGGGTTGTCGTAGGTCGTCGTCATTGTTGTTGATGTGGGCGTTGTGGGTCGTGGGTGATGTGGGGCGTGGGCGTTGTGGTTGATGTGTGGGTCGTGGCTGATGTGGGCATTGTGGGTCGTGGCTGATGTGGGCATTGTGGGTCGTGGCTGATGTGGGCATTGTGGGTCGTGGGTGATGTGGGCATTGTGGGTCGTGGCTGATGTGGGCATTGTGGGTCGTGGGTGATGTGGGTCGTGGGTATTGTGGGTCGTGGCTGATGTGGGCATTGTGGGTCGTGGCTGATGTGGGCATTGTGGGTCGTGGCTGATGTGGGCATTGTGGGTCGTGGGTGATGTGGGCATTGTGGGTCGTGGCTGATGTGGGCATTGTGGGTCGTGGCTGATGTGGGCATTGTGGGTCGTGGCTGATGTGGGCATTGTGGGTCGTGGCTGATGTGGGCATTGTGTGTCGTGGCTGA